TAATAGGGGTTAAAGTATGAAATTGCCGATTTGTACTGAAAATCTAAATTGTTTATTTTTTAAATTTTTAACAAATTTCTTTAATCAAAATAGTTGCCATTATTATCTATACATTGCTGCCATCTAATGGGAAGGTTATTAATGCCTTTGCGATAGAACTCCGACGATCTAGACTGCACAAACTGTGTGAAAGCATTTTGTACTGCCTCCTGGGAAGAAAACTTCTTGTCACGTAGATAATTGTCCAAATCACGAAAAAAATGGTAGTCCGTTGGAGCAAGGTCTGGTGAATACGGAGGATGACGAATGGTTTCTAACTGCAGTTCCTGAAGGGTCAAAATGGTTTCTCGTGCTGTGTGAGGTCTCGCGTTGTCGTGGAGCAATAATGGTGAAGATCGATTCATGCGTCGGGGCTGTTTTACTGCTAGTTTTGTCAACATGGTTCGGAGTTCGGCACAATAGACATCTGCCGTTATTGCTTGACCAGATCGGAGAAAACTATAGTGAATAACACCATGCTGAGACCACCAAACAGTTACCATTACCTTTTTATTGGTAAGTTTTGCTTTAGGACACTGTTGTGGCATTTGACCTGGGGTCAGCCATTGCATTTTTCTTTTCCGGTTATCATAAAGAATCCACTTTTCATCACATGTTACAATTCGATCCAATATTCCTTCATTTCTGTACCGGTTCAACAAGGCAACACAAGTTTCAACACGCGTTTCTTTCTGCAGATCAGTCAAATCATGAGGCACCCATTTTTCGTATTTTTTTATTTTATTGATTTGACGCAAGTGAGTCAATATTGTGGGTAAGGTAACGTTAAACCATGCCGCTAATTCCTGGGTAGTTTGACTAGGATCGGTTTCCACTATCTCTCTTAATTCATCGTTATTCACCTATGTGGGCGGTCTTCCTCGTGCCTCGTTCTTTAAGTCGAAATTTCCATCACGAAAGTGTTTAAACCAAAATCGCACGGTGCGTTCATTAGTAGACCCCTCTCCAAACGCAGCATTGATATTGCGGGCTGTTTCTGCCGCGTTAGGTCCGCGTCGGAACTCGTATTCAAAAAAATTTCGCAGTATCCATCTTTCTTGTCTAAATTGAATAACAAAAACAATTGAAAGTCGATAATAATATTCAAATGTTTCAAATTTAAAAAAAAAAAATCACATAAACCATTTGAAAAAAGTTTCATTCGAAAACCTCAAACCATGAAGATTCTATGAAAATTCAAAGAACCTATTGCAATAAAACGGCAATTTCATACTTTAACCCCATTTTCGGCTGACAATATCAAGAAGTTCCTAAAAGAAGCTCCGGATTGGCGATATTTGGCAACAAAGGTCAGTTAAAACTAAATTATTGTAATTAATTTCTTTCACTTTCGTATTTCTTTACAATATAGGTGTTTATACGTTCTTGTTATCTCTTTTCAGGTTGTATTAATATTCGGTATAAATGGTGCATGTAAACGTCAAGAGTTGGCAAACATAACAACTAATGATGTCGAGAACCATGGGCGAGTTCTTCTTGTCCAGGTCAAAAACACAAAAAATAAAATTCCAAGGTCGTTCAGAATACAGGGGCCTTTTTACGACGTAGTGAAGAAATACGAAGCGCTTCGTTCAACAAAAGCTAATTCCAACAGATTTTTTCAAAATTATCAAAATGGAAAATGCACTAACCAACCCATTGGCATTAATAAATTGGGAGCAATGCCGAAAGAAATTGCCACTTTCTTAAATTTGCCTCAAGCACATGAATACACAGGGCACAGTTTCAGAAGGTCCTCGGCTACATTGCTCGCCGATTCAGGTGTGGACTTATTGACACTAAAACGCCACGGAGGATGGCGGTCAAGCAATGTAGCCGAAGGATACATAGAAGACTCGAAAAGAAATAAAGAAGAAATTAGCTCTCGCATTACAAGGAACATAAATTTGGAGTCAAGTGTTGACTTTCAACCATTTACGAACACACACGCGTACATTCCACCATCGTCGCCGCAGCCGCAACCGCCTCCGCCGCCGCCACCGACTGTGTGGTCTCGTTTCTCCTACTTTCAGTCGAGAGTGAGAGAGAGACTGGGGAGATTGTAACTAATAATTTACTTTTTATTGTAACTAATTATTTATTTATTTATTAATTAACTTTACAACATTAAAAATGCCAACTGGCAACGTAACAATCACTTTTAAAAATTGTTCGAATTTCTATAACTGCTTTAACAAGTAATTAAAGATTTATTCGTTTAAGAAAGTCAGAGTCTTATTTATTTCCTCGCAAATATGTTATAAAACGTCGTATGACATACGTGCGCTTTGAAAATTACAGCCTCTGCTTTCTTATAGCAATATCGCCTCGGCTGTCATTTTCAACTTACCGCACTTATATCATAATGTACTATTATAGTGTTATATTTAGCGTTATATATATTTATATGTATATAAGCTATGCTGTCTTATTATAATACTATTAACTGAATCTAACCTTTCGGTAGTCACATTTCAAGTCGCAATATATAGCGATTTTTTAAACGGTTTTTATTTAAACAGATTGTCGGGTCTTAATGGTATAGCCCTGTAAATTTGGACAATGTCACTTGAATGGTGGATTAAGGCTTAGAAGCAGAGAATAGAAGACGGTTTCCTACCGTAGGTAAATACTAACTCAAGATAAAGGACACCGCTAAAACTCGAAAGTTTCGGACACCCAAGTTATTATATCAGGTACAGGGTAGAACACAGTCCTATTACCTACGACTTACTTGATGTCACATGCACTTGAAATGGTTTGAATTTCAATATAATAATTTATGCACTTTTACAAGTTTGACTTGTAACATTTCAGAATTAAAGTTGAATATCTTTGTGTTTGGTGTGAGTCATGGTCAATGATTGAGTGTATTGATTTTAACTAATAAGTAATTAGAAAGCTGCGTCATCACAAGTGAGCTCCGTAAAACGCATTGGCAGAACGGCGACTGGTTCCGAGGCGTTGGGCTCGTTTACGTACACGCTCCATGTCCGCGCTTCCAGGTCGAAGATACCTGCGAGTAAATTTTGAACAACAAAATTGAAAGAGGCGCCTCAGGTAATGCCATCTTTTATTTATCTACCCTAAACGGCTATATTCCGGGTCGGAGAATGTGCGCTTATAATAATAAAATACCCACTTATGTGAATTGTTCCGTTTATGACTTAGGTATTGACTTCAGCTACTAATGTAAAAAGAATTATTTATAATAAGTGCGAACCTATCTATAATAATGGTATCTAAGTTTGTTTGTGGTTAGATAATGCGTATCGCGTCCTTCAGCCGTTAATAATTGCGGTAATAGACAAAGAAACTGACAAATAAAAAAAAACTAAGAAATGTTTTATGAAATAATACAAAGTTAAGGATAGAGTGTAAGCTGATGACATATATTGCATTTTATATAAACTAATATATTATGCAATAAACTTATATTTGTTGTGACTTACGATGAACGACTAAATTTAGAATGCAGTACCTAGTGTTAACAACTCGCCACCTTGATAAAAGTTACAAGGTGGTACGGAAATGCTCCCAGCAATCAGAAGGTTTTTGCGTGGTTCGCGAATTGCCAGCATCGAGTACAAAACATCGCCAGTTGTTAGACGTCGTGTTTCGAATCATTACGCAGAGATGGCGCCATACGTAACCAATGTGGCTATACAATAGCGTATTTTCTCAGGTTTTTCAAGATTGGTACCGCAAATTTTAGGTTACACATTATAGTGAACGCCATTCGCATTCTCGCGGCTGCTTGCATAATCTGTATTCCTTAGCGCATTGGTTTTATACATTTGCAACAGTTTTTTTATCTGTTTTAAAGCTCTAACTAAATACAATGTCAACCCTATATACTAAATCTATGATGTCAACGTACCTATATACTAAATCTATGATGTCAACCAACGTGGGTCCACGGCTTATTTGAGGACCCAAATTTTTTAGATATCAAAATCTTTTATCTAGATCTTACCCAGGAGAGAATCGTCATGTCAGCTGTCTTAGTGGTAGGTACTTACCGACAGCAATAGTTTTAATGGTGGAATCTGGTTTTTTCTGGAAGACGGTGAATTCCTTGCCGGATGTGATGGAGAGGGCATCGGCGATATCGTTGCGCGAAGTCGGTTTGCCGTGTTGCCGCAGCAACTCAAGGCGCACTTTGCTGCTATCAATGATTGGCCCGATCACCTCCACCACTGGCAGACGCAAGTATCTGATAATCAAAAAGGGATTTCAAAAAATAAGTTGCCAGCCTAATTTTTGAGAACCGTCGACAAATTTTAGCCATTGTTGTATCGTAGGCAGATAGGAGCTCGCTTGTATTTTGTTTTAAAGATTCATTCAAATAAATTCACGGAGCAATTGATATGTAGTGTCCAGACGGATAAAAGGATGGGACCACCTATGTAGTGAGCGAGGTATCCTGATTAATTTCCTGAGAGGACGACGTAGCGTGCCGCCGAGAGTCGCTACGTCTGCGACCCCAGACGTCACTGTCTACCGCGGCAGAGTTGGGCGATAATTACTATTAATTAATGTTTGGGGAGTTCCAGGATGTCGGCTTTGAAAAGTGATTACCCAGGCGGAGAGCTTTCTTCCACTCTATCCTGCGTACGAGGTCACGGTCATTTAAACCTAAAATGATTTGGTTAGATGAAGCGCCTAACAAAAAATGAAAAGTAGTGAGTAGGTATTTGGTCGACATCGGTGTTGGCAACGTCGGTGTTGGCATCCACCGAAACAAGTGTTAGGGGACGGCTGTTCACCATCGGCTTCCAGCAGGAGAATCTCTAAAATTTCTGATTTGTTGTTTGTCCGACTAGCGGAATCCTTAATGCAGTCTTCATAATTCTTACCAGGCTTTCCCAGTATCCTCCGAAAGATGGCAGGAGGGATAAAACGCCACGTCGAGTGATGCAGCCTCTCGGACTCATAATTGAGTTAGCCGACAGGTAGTGCGTGTAAAGAACGACATAACATTTCTCCTTGCGTATCCCCACTGCTACCTCTGTACTGCCCTCGGAACGAAAAAAGGCACAACTGCTGTGTAAAGTACGCATAGTTGTGCCTTTTTTTGGTTACGAGGGCAGTGTAGGTCTAAAATAGTCTAAGCCAGTATATGTGAAAGGATGTTGATGATACGCTACCATTTCGTACTGTAAGTCCGCAGTGCGGGGAGTTAAGAGATTGGGCCTTACGGAGCCTGCATAACAGGCATTTTCTGGCGATTGATCTGACTGTGGTCATTAAACGTAGAATCCAAAACCTTTTGACGGAGTTCGTTAACTAGTTTTTTTTTTATAAAAAATAAGTGCGCATTTGACCTCCATCTCACTTGATGGAAAGTGACGATGAGGTCGAGGATGTAGCATGCACACCTAAATAATGCCTATTCACTCTCGCTTGGAAAAGGTCCAAATTATAGCGTTCAGGGAACATGTCCGCAGGCAGGGAATTCCACTCTCTAGCCGCTCGCCATATAAATGTGGAATCGAAACGCTTCGTGCGAATCCGGGGAATATCCGCAACATAGGGGTGGAACCCGAGCCCACGTCTTTTCCCACGTCTTTTTCCATTCCCATGTTCACGCAAATAGTGAGGTTAGGTATTTAATTAGGTAGGTACATAGATACTTAGGTACCTGCCAAAAATTTTCAGCATTTTCTTCCAAATGTAAAGTCTTATTTTTTTGTTGGCACTCGTTAAATCCAACTCAATGAATATAAGTTATATAGATTTACTTTCGATAAGCCTAACGCCCTGTGACCGACTACCTTCCTGCTCCATCAAGAGACCCTTATCACTATGTGCCTACGACCTACTAATCGAGACCAATTCAACGAGTCGGAACTCAGTGGGTTTATGTTTAATAAGGCTGAGGTCTTTTGTCCACCTTTCTGCTCCATTATTAGACCCAAGTCGCCATCTGTAAGCCTACTACCTACTCGTCGAGACCAATCCAACAAATCCAAATTCGGTAGACCTACGTTTAATAAGGCTGAGTTCCTGTCTCCACCTTTCTGCTGCATCATCAGACCCTATTCACCTATACTTATACAACAAATTAACGAAACAGTAGCCATATCCATCTCCTTACTGAACTGCGGTCTATGTGGTCTGTGGAAGAAACTATCCCTGAACTGCGAATTTAAGTGTCAACATTACAAGAAACCACCCCTAGATAGTTTCTTTACCAACAATATGTCGGAGGCCTACAGGACGGTGAAATCAGAATTAAAATTTGACAAGAAACGATCTTGGCACTTGGTGTAACGCTCTGGTGTCCGAAACGAAAAACGAAAAGAAACGAAATTGATATATCTTCGTGCTCAAAGCTAGTACAAATTGTTTCAGCGATTGGGTTAGCTAAGACAGAAAATCGTGCGATAACTAGACAAAATTAAGAGTTGCTACAGTAGGGGAGAGCGGGACTGAACGTTCCGATTTTCAAATAAGTTGAAGTTTTATATTGAAAATGAAAATCAAATCCTGATTTTCAACATATGGAAATATTGAATAAATGTTTATCGCTTTTTGTAAGTGTAGTCAATTCTACTAATATCTCAATAGTCTTTTTCTTTTCATAGAGGCAAATTTTTGACAAATTTCGGAGCGGAACGTTCAGCTCCGCTTTGGGGCGCGTTGTTTCGCCTTTGAGGTAAATTGTTCTGCTTAAATTACGACAGGGTAACAATGGTTTTCTTAAATAAAACCACTTTTAGATTATATTTATTATATTTCGTTATAATTGTATATATGTAATGTTTATATTATGCACAACTAACTTAAAAAAACAACTACATTCTTATTCATCAGTAATATTGTTCAAAGCTCATGAAGAAAAATGGTCATAGAATTTTAAGTATGATTGCAGGTCATTTGGTGAAGTTGTTCCTAGAAACAACCAGCCCTTTGAGGAAGGAACTTATAGCCCCAAATTACGTTTTTATACGAAGACTGATATACCGGCAAAGTAATAGAATCAATGAAAAAAATACTCAAACAATAAGATTCTTTACTAATATCACTACAATTTAGAAAAGTTACGTATGAATTGGCCCATAATAAACAAAAACAGACTAAAAAATTTAAACAAGAAAAAATGTACTTACGTGATGTTTTGACAGCTCCGCGCACATAGTCACACTTCCGTCGTCGCTGGAGTAACTGAAATGGCTGCCGGCAATGCGCATTATCTGACGCTTTAACGACGTGCTTCACATGTATTGCTATATGTTTTTCTTGCAAAGTTATTGCTGTGAGGACAATTTACCCCGGGAACTACCAGTCCCGGTCTCCCCTAAGAAAAAATAATCACTGACTATTTTATTTTGTCACAAATATCAATTCTGTTTTTACCTATTTCTTCAAAAATGTTTGTTGCCCTGCCTAGATACGAGGTTTATGCATTCACAGTAAAAACCATGAAAACGATGACACAAATACGATTAAATTTTTTTGAATATGTAAATTCAATCCTCCATCGAAAATTAGACGGTCTCGCTACTGGTATACTCTGAATTTATATGACCGCTTTTAGTCAGGTACGAAAATTCGATAACAGCTTCAATTAGGTGAGTTGACTTATCCAACTACTCTACGAACACAGAAACAACTATTATACACATTATACAATTAGTTCCTTTTCAATCGTTGTTGATGGCTTAAACAGCTCCATTAAAGAAGGTGGCTGCAGGAAAATCAGCAATTAGACTATGACACAATCAAAATCAAGCGCAAAATATTGGAACGAATTTTGTTCTAGGTACCTACTGATCGCCTAGTCAAGGTTTGTAATGTATGTAAATTTGTAACTGTTGCGGTAAGGTAATTTTTGTGCGTGATGAGGAGCGGAATGATAGTCGTGAAGATGCAGTCTTGAGCAATATATGCACATACTTATGTACTCAATTTAATTTATGGTCATGGGTACATCATTCGTTTTTTAAAATGTGGCGTATCTTATAACTTGCAATACACTCCCGTTATAAAAATATTTTTATGATATTATTATTTTGTTTATTATTTTGTCTCCATCGCGATCACCCCTTGACTAATACATTGTATAAATGCAAGTAAAACAAGCGGTCGTTTATCGCTCATAACGCAGCAGTGCAACCAGTTACTGTGTCCGGTTGCCGGAAATCGTTTAATATCAATTGTATGAATATAGAATATTCGCTTCTAGTTGCCGGTTGCTTGTATCCAACACAAGACACATTTGCGCAGCGCCGTATCCATTACGTTTGTGTGGAGATGTATAAATACCTACATACCTATACAACATATTCTCCCTCCAGTGACAGCTACAAATACTGTAAATACTACAAGCTATTAATAGTATAACAGGTAAATGTAGAAATATTTCTTATAATTAATAACGGGACGTTTACGTAACAATCTCGTTGGTTGGAACGAGTGCTGCACTGTGCAAACGTGGTGCGAACTCTCTGCTTGGCCACATCCCGGACACTCCATACGACAGTCGAAAGTTATTTACCTACTACTACTACATACAGCCAAGCGCTATCTGCACACGCGCAAATGTGTGCGTGAAGTGGCAGGGTTACCTATCACATTCTCGTATCTATTACATGGTGAGCGCGGCGACTTAGCGAAAATTCTAACGCGAATCAGTTATCTAAAATTCTATTAATAGAATCCTAATAGTTACACATACATATTTATTAGGTAATAATTAATAATTAATAGGTATATAATCTGTATTAAATCAATTTGTAAAAACAATAACCGAATGAGTTTCAGACATAAGCTTTTTTTTACTTACTTCGTTTCACCTATCGGAAAACGAAAGGAACTCGTCTCTTTATCCCGTTTAGATGACCATAAACAGCCGTACAGAGCATTATTCACGACCATTATAAATAGTAACTTACAATTATGTCATATATTGTCGTACAAGTTTCGTAATGAATAAATGAAAAATATATTCAAATATCAAAGCCGTCTTAGCGCGAAAAAGCTCTCCGACAGGCTTTTTTATCGTTCAGTCAATGTGACCGTCGTTGTGCGGGGCATGGTGCGGTATCTAAAGCTAGGGAGGGACGGAGTGTCCGTTCTCGTTACTTTTTGTTCTCTGACTTGGCTTATTGATTTATTATTTGTATCATGGTCGCCATCGTCGTCGTAACCAAGGTGCGTCTGTTCTGCTGCGTCTCCTTCCACGGCGCATGACGCATCATTGAGGGTGAGCGCATGGTATTCTCGCTTTAGTCTAATCGTCGTTGTAATGGAAGTATAAGGCTCATACATCTCGCCTCTTCTCCCTCTAGTCGAACCGAGTAACTACGTCAGATAACGATGTATCAACATCGTTATTACTGTTGTGACGTGACTTGCAACAATGGAATTATAACAGCTGTGGCAGCACCCTTTTTTTCTATATCTATGGACAGCACTGTTGAATATGACGGCGACAGAAGTGACGGCGATTATGGCGACGATTATAACAGCAACTGTGGCGGTGTAACATTCGACTTCTGTAGGTAGGTACGAACTTCTTTGCTCATTGTCAAGCAGACTGTCACATGTTCCTTTGTATAATATCAGTTTACGAACGAAAAACTACAGTTTCGTGCATTGATTCGTGCAAATACAAAAAGTCTTCGTTCACTACTGGTATCGTACAAAACATAATTACATTACTCAGTTTTTTCCAGCTCTATTCACTCGAGGATAGGCGTCTTTTATCAGATATGAAGTTTCTATTTGACGTAGTGAACTCTGCGTTGGATTGTCCTGAGTTGACCGCTTGCATTGATCTATGTGCATGCTGCAAGATGTATGCGCTCCTTGCACACGGGCTCAGCCCGTTCAAATTACGCGAAATACTCTGTTTTGCATAGAATTGTGCGTACTACGAGGACAAATTTAAAGACGTTGATATTTTCTTTATGAACCGATAGATTATTCAGAATTGTAAACCAAATTTAAAAGCTGTAAAGTTTGCAAATAAATAAATAAATGTTACTTTCGCAACTTTATACGAACCACCGGTTTCGTAAGAGGCCGAAGGGTTGATTTTTGTGTCTTCACACACTCTAAATTAATACAGTCTTTTAGATACCTACATGGCTTTTCCTAATCTCTTAACAATAATGCCTTTTACCTACTGATAATTGTTTTTGCTTACAGGTTTTTTATACAACATTGTCGTTTTCGAAAAAAATGTTTTATTTCTCCGTTCCGAGCTTTGTGTGCGTGCCATAGACATATAACTGGATAGACGCCGCAAGTACAGCAATTTGTATAAAAACCCAGCGTGTCACGTTTTTTGTACCCACTATGACGTCACAAGAGCTATTTAGTGATAGAAACATCCTTTCGCTCGCTCTAAATCGATTGATTGAACGGAATACGCGTAAACATGCGTATTCCATTTAATTAATCGATTCTAAATAGAATAATTTTTGTTCAAGTATTTGTTGATTACAAGTAGTCGTAATATTAATATAGTACAAAAAATACTAGAATAAGATAGATAAGTCCTTTGTTTTACTTGTCTTTAAAAAATGTTGATTGATTAAAAAATTAAAGTCATAATTTTTTTAACTTTTGACTTCAAATATTAAAATTATTATCCTTCCAATAAAATGAGCTTATTAATATAACATGTTTTTGTAATAGAAGATCTTATCGATTACCTTAAATAATAAAAAGTCACGTCAATATATGAACTTGCGACTGCCTTAATTAATTTTACTAGATGGTTTTCTGTTGGTAATTGATCAAATTGATGAATTGCAAGACAAATGAAAATGTTACTGCCTACAACATATGGTAAAATCTTATTAATCAGAAGAGGTTTGCTTAATCACGGCCTCGTGTGAAATTTTTGTGATTTGTTTATTAATTCTCGGATTTCTGGCTCTGCTACATCTTAGGTGGGATAAACTAGACCACCTTCGTCCTCGAAAGCAACGAACTCATACGTATGACCAACTACGGGTTTTTGTCTTTACAAGAACCTGGAGTTGGTCACTAATTGGTCAGTCTGTCAGACGGCGCACTGTTAATTCTTTGCATTATATATATTTTTTGTATTAATCGTACTACATAATTATATATTTTAAGTTAAAACAAAAGAGTTATAGAATATTTTCATAATATTGCTAAGGTCATAATAGTTTTCGTCCCTTTGTTTTCAATATCGATCAGAATAGAGAACAGTGTTGCCTAATGTATACATCCCTAAATGTTAAATTTGGCCAAATAAATGTACAAGCGGCCATACCACGAAACCGAATGCTTTATACAAAAGTGCGTTCGTATCAAGTAAAAGGCGCAATGTATTACAAATCATGAGGCATACCTACACTCGGTTGCATATTAGTTTTCTCGAAATTTATATAAAACCAAAATAATTGTTTTTAAAATAAATTATGCATCTTCTGATTACAAAATTACTTACCCGTGGAAGGAAATGTCCCTGTTTGCCCGTTTACCCACAGTTATGGTGCTTTTGCTGTTCATCGTGGCACAGTTATGCATTTTTTTGTGTTTTCGACTGGTGTTTATCGGTATAACAGTCGAGCGCGTTCTGAAGTGTAGCAGCGGCAACTAAATGAATTTCACTTACTTTGGGCACGCGAAGTACGTACATTTGCGGCGTCTATCTAGATATATGTCTGTGGTGCGTGCACTGCACACACAACATGCACACTTTTCACGTCAATGGTTAAGGCGGGTGAAAGGCTTTTTGTTGAAATAGCTTTTTATTCATTGGTATTAATGGAGATTGTAAAAGTAACAGAATATCACATATTACAACACCTGTTTATCACCCAGCCAGCAAAGGCCAGGCAGAAAATTATGTTAAGGCGTACACGCCGAAGGGTGTTAAATCCTGCCTAATATCGTGTAGGCACATCAAAAAAAGTTAATATTGCATAAATATTTACTTTATCGATTGTCGTTATTCCATTCATAATACGAAACGGTATTTATTCACCATCACTTGTCTTCGGTCGTAAACTTAGGAAGCGGCTAGTTTAATCCAAAGTCGTCGTCACCTTTATCACGCGCCGTTCTGTATAAAATCACTCTTTGTGCATGCACATTTCTTGAAATTATCTTTTTTGTTAAATTTTTTACACATAATTTATGTTATGTATCCAGATTTGCACATAACACACATACCTAAAACGTCAGGTCAATGCACTTGCATTCACGTACCCCGGAACGCGCGCCCCGTGCATTACAACGTGACCGATGCAAAACTCGTCATTTTAATTATAATTATGAGACACTTTTCGGCCCAACGTTCCTAACATCAGACGTAGACTAAATTCCTTTAGTTAAGATGTTTTTTGTATAAGTACTTTTAGACATAACGTACCTAACTTCAGCGTTCTCAAAATTATTTACTTTAAGAAATACCTTTGTGGAAATTTAATATAGTTATTCATCATATTTTCTCGTTTTTTACTTCATCTCCACTGCGGCCACCCTATACAATTGGCGCAGTCTTGGCGTTGTAGAGTACTGACTCTACAACTCCAAGACTGTAGTTGATTTAGATAAGTAGTGAATTAGACAAGTAGTTGATCCATTTTAATCTCGCTGCTGTTTGACTTTGTTGTTCTATGTATCCCGTTTCGCTTTGATGTGAGCTCTCCATGTTAATCTTTATCCAGAAACACTTACAGGTGCTTGCCAGTATTAAAAGTAAGATGTGGTTGTTCATTTTTATTTCTGGGCAGTGCAAAAGTTATCAAGGCCAGTGTACCACGCTCTAAAGTCACGCCCGCGCCGCGCCGCCGCCGATTTTCCACGCCGCTGCCGCCAATGAACATGATCGGCGTTAAATCGGCATTAATGATTGTTCTTTGTTAGTTATTTACTGTATTTCTATACATTGTTTCCGTATAATTAAAATCAAGTACGGAACGTTTATGTACATCCATTTCACATCGATCACGTCGCCGCCGCCTAGCGTAAATAAAAGCCTCCGCGACGCCTCTGACGATTTTGCAATCGGCGCACATTTCCAGTGTCGACACAATAAAATGAAAATTATAGTTTTATAAATGACTCTTGAAATTTCGATTGGTAAAACCATTTTGAGGGAGGCGGACCGAAATTCCGCAAATAATAGAGTCCTTTAAGAATCTGTTAGCACCACTCCCTCCTTGAAGATCTTGCGTGTTTCCTACGAGGGGGCCATTTCGCTTCGTTTTGCCAGCAAGGCGTCAACGTCAAGGCACAATACCAGAAAGACATGTTGAAAGCGGTGGTTAAACCGTTAAGTGATAGACTATTTGCTGGCAAATGGTGGGTTTTCCAACTGGACTGCACCGTCCCACAAAGCTAAATCTTCCGCTCCCTGCATCAAACGCTGCTGGCTGGGGACTAGTTTGTCAGGCTTCATTCGCAGCGAAGATTGGCCTCCCCGTCGAGCCCTAATTTGAATCCTTTGGATTAATATTTATGGACTGAATTGGAGCTAAGGGTATACAGAAAGTCTCAACCAAATTTGGATTCCTCTCAAGCGAGCCCTTGTCAAGGAATCGAAACGGATTCCTATTGAAAAGTTGCGTGCCGCCATAAATAAACGAATGGCCAGCACGTTTAAAGGCCTGTATTGAAAATAAGGGAGGTCATTTTTAATAACCTATCTTTATTTTTATCTCTGAATGCAGGAGGTGGCCCGATTTTAAATTAATTTAAACAATAAACGAATATTTCAAATATTCCCAAAAATACTTGAGTTTTGCTTTGTTTCAAAACTTAGAACACACGAGACACTTAGAGAACACGATAATCTATTTACTCGTATTTAGAATTTGCTGATCTATAATTCGAGCGGCACTGGTTAAGTAAGTTAGTAAGTAAAGAGTAAGTTATAATAAAGAGTTATTGCTCAATTCCCCTACAAATTAGAACTAATTGTGTTGAGTCTCACCTTATATGCTAATTGACGTCGCGTTAGCTTAACAGATAAGCCGTGATTTTTATAACCCGGCATTGAGGTTTTTTAGTTTTTTAAGTTTGTTTGGATATTAATTTTTTGTAGATTGACTTCTATTGTATTATATTGATTGAGTTGACGTATAATTATTGTTCCTTGATTCACTAAGCACCTAAGACTATTTAGTGGCGCGGTGCTGTTGTCTTGTTATTGAAAATAGTCTTACAAGTTGCAGTGCACCAAAGCTTCCTCGTTGAATGTCTTTTCATGCAGTAACGAACTGTCTCCAACGAGGTTGGGCGCCACTTCGATGTTGCGCAGCTGGTGTTTTCCGGCGGCGTTCGTCCAAAACATGTTTACGGAGAAGCCGTTGGCCACGCCAAGACCCTTGTCCAGCAAGCAGCGGTCGGCTTCATTCATATTCCTCGCCGCAAGCAGGGCGCGCGTCATGAACGTGCGGGCTGGCAATGATAAAAACCTTGTTCGAGTATTTTTGTTAGTAAGTTGTATAGAGATGTGGTAACACTTACGTGTGTGTCCCGGCTTGAGTGCTTTGGGACTAAGCGTGTTGATAGTGAACACCTGGCCGTGCTCGTTGAAGCTCATAGTGTATCCAGGCAATTGGCCGGCGTAGCACAGCGACGTGAAGTGCTCCTCCACGGCCTGCGCGCAAAATCGGTCATATCCGATAAGCCGGCTGCTAAATTATTTTTTTGTTTTTTTTTATTTTTTTATTTCATAACAAGGAGTAAGAATGCTCTAAATTTTAAAATTATTTGAAGATAGTTTTACCATGTTCAAAAATAAGTGCAAAATCCTGTTTTTGAATAAAGTAGTAGATGAAGTTTGAAGAGATTCTGATTACACCATAGATATAGGAAATTACACTAACCCCATTTGCCCGATCTTCCGGAGTGGGTGTAACGTGCGCCGATATAAAGTAGAAATGGTTTAGCGTCTCTGCGAATGCGTCTTCCGTGTGACCTAGAATCGCCTGTAATTGAAATCACTAATATGTATTCATTTATGTAAATTTTTACCGAGTCTAGTAGGCTTACCATATATATAACCTTATATTTACTTATAAGAACATTAGTCTCGAGTCTCGAAAATGCCAGAAAAACGTTGAAACTTGTGAAATTGGATGAAAGCCCATGCCGCGAAATAGCGTCAGTGTGCATTATGGAAATGCACGGAAGCTCAATCGTGTTATCCAACGTTTTGGCAAAGAGCCGCTAGCCGTGTCTATGCATATTAGGACTATCATCACTGCGTCTACCAACACTATGTGGTGCGGAGCATTCATACGCATGTTCGCTATTAGTACAAAAGCATTCAGTTGAATTTGTTATTGCATCCACATAAACAAATATAGGACAAACAAACAGAACAGAAGCAACGTGCAACATGTGGCCTTGTTACTAGGCCGTAAATTCAAACATTGTAAACACAGTGGCAGTAATAATGACAATACTGACGTTTCCAGGGCGATTGATGCCGACATCGCTGCACCCGCCCGTGTCCTCGCGCGGGAGCCAGTTCTCGTTGATTGTTCCAATTATGTCGTCCATATGCAACAGGAACAACTGTCGTGCATAAATACAACAGTAACAGTCATACTAAACAAGGTTGGTTGGTACACTTTGTACCTACATAAATCTATGCAATTGATAAAAGTCGTTGTTGGTTGTACGTAAGTCAGTGGAAACATGAAGAAATAACTAATCACAACAACAATAAGGTACTATGTCTATAATATAGTAATACATCAATAGATAACACTAACTTTAATAAACACTAACAGTATTATTTGAAATATTTCTCCATTCCTTAAGTTGAAATTCTGATATTGTTCGGTAATTGGTATCAGTTTTACAGTTCCGCAAAGCGAAACTACGAACTAATTCGTGCAGCTTCCTTTCATTAAACCGGCGGCGGCAGCGCGTAGAGAAGTTGACATATCTTTCTCAAATTTGTAATTAAGTATACTTGCGGATTATGTATGCATATTTGTGTTTCAAGTGTTTTTTTAAATTCGATGTTGTATAAATACGTAGAATAATCATAATTTTATTTAAGATTTATTTATATGAATGTCATAATTTATAAAATATTTATTAGCAAATAAAATATAATCAATATAAAATTAATTGGTAAATTACTAATTAAAAAGAAGAACCAACACAAAAAACAACGAAGTGTCGATTACAGTGTCAAAATGTCGAAAAAATCCAATACAAAAATGTATATAAAACACAGAGGAATTCGTAAGAGCTGCTGATTCGACCTGTAACTCAGTCAGAGCATCGCCCTGGTTGGACGCATAGATATAGAAAAAAAGGGGAGATATGGTATAGGGGCGTGGTTCGTGTCGCCTCGATATGGTCATTTTGACACGCCTACAAACATCGCCACAATGACATGGCGAATGTTGTACATACAAGATCTCTCGTAAAACGTGAAAATGCCAAGTTGTAGCGATGCACCTTGTAAAAATTGGAGTGAAAAATTTTTACTGAAGTGTTTGAATTTCTTACTATGATTTTTGTAATTAAAGTCCCTAAAATATCGAAGCAAAAAGCATTCACGTTAAATTGATTTCTTTTATTTTATTATTATTATTATTACTAAACATTTTATTTCGAGTAACTTTAACACAACTCATATTTCGGACAACCGTTTCAATTTCATGTCAATTTGGATGTTGCTGTTGCTTGAAGAAAAATTTATGTGATTTAGATATTTAAGATATTTAAATTCCATTATACTGGTAATTAAACGTAGAGTATTTTTAAATTTTTCCAATGAGTTCTAAATAAAAGAAGGTTGGATTGAAGCTGCAGGAAAATCGAAAGATTGGTTTTGTTATTACTATTTCTGACTTTGTTTCAATTTCCATAGCAAATGCATTTACAAAATAAATAAAATAAAATCGGCTTTATTTTACTTGTGCATGCAAAATAAATTAGAAACAATTCTAGAAAATTACATAAATCCTTCATTTAAAAAAACAACATAACTTAATTTACTAAATTCGTTGATGGTTCGAGTTTACTCTCGTCAGTGACAGCTTCACCAACCCGTGGTAACGTATAATGGAAAACTGACACTGGCGACGCCATATTTTTTATATTATTCTTATAAAACTGACACTGGTCCAAGCCTAGTGGCCGCCATTAAGAAAATAATAATAATTTATATTACAGTCAATTCGGGTAACTTTGAACATTTTTTGCGTTTTTCTAATAATTTCAAATTTAACTATGTTTCTTAACAATTACTTTATTAATTGAATAGTGTTCTTTAAAGCCCTTTCGTTCTTATAGAAGGAATTTAGTAATTATTCAAAAAAACTGTTCTAGATTTGCTCCAAAAGTCACATTCAAAGTTGCCTTGAATTTTGGGTAACTTTGAATAAGATTAGCCTTCGATATGGAAACCGTATATTTTCTAGATATTTTACAGTTTGTGTAAGATTATACGACATATTCATGTTTTTTAGATGTGAATCTGTCCAAATATTCCTGACAGTGCGTTCAAAAACAACATTTGACTTGGTATTGCCATAATAAAACGAGACGAACTAATTTAGTTGAAATGAAAAACTTGTTTTTTTTAGATTTTTTAATTAATGCGAATAAAAATGAAAATTTTCTGTTTAATAATAAATTCTACGTTTATTTAGCTATCAAGCGAGATCAAAATGAATCACCTATAACAATTATTTTAGGCAAAGTAAATACATAACAAAAATCTGTTCACTCCGCTCCTTGAATAAAATGTCGTCATCAATATAAATACGGCCGCCTTTTCTAGATAGCTGTTGCTCTTTTATAATATTCACAATATCGGCTTTATTAACTTGACATGTCTCAACGTTAGAGGGCCAAGACCAACCTCCTAAAAAGCATTTTTGGAGCACTGAGACAGTAATTTCCAAAGGAGTAACTTTTAGAACTCTCCCTGGAAACAGACTACCCTCTTCTCTAAAAACACAGTCAAACACATTCAA